GTAGCGGCGAACAGAGAACTCCGGAATTCCGAAGACCCAACCCAGGCACGCGGCGACCTGCGCCACGTGGCGGCCCCCGACGGCCTAACTTTTCGAGACCGCCTCCACCGCGGAGGGATTTCCCCGCAAACCGTCGCCCACAGTGCCCCGGCCCCATCGGGCCTTGAATCCCCTGCGCACGCGCCCCTTTTTCGCCCAATTGCAATCATATCCTTAAGACTCCCCCACTTTCCAAAAATCCTTGGCACACCCCTCCTCGCACTTCCAGGCCCACATCCCACTCCGATCAGGAAGTTGCGCTGGGCGTGAGGTTGGTATCGGAGCCCGACACGTGGCTAGGGCCTTAGGATTGATAGCACGTTAGTTAGGCGACCTGGCTAACCGTGGGCGACCTCGCCCTCGGAACGCGCCTAGACGCGACCCTATCGTGACCAGAAGCAGAACGACTAACCGACGAGCAGCCAATATGAGTGCCAACGTGCAAAATCCGGTTCTGCAACAAAATGCTAATCCACCTAATCAACCTGCCCCACGTGCACGAGCTCCCATGTCGCCACCAGATCTCTATCTATTTGATTCGGCGCACCATCTCGCAGGAGCATGGTTGGCCACGCTTAGAGCACAACAGTACGATGATCACGAGGCACAGATCAACATTCCGGCTCGAATGGGAGGAGACACTCATCATTGGTATAGTACCTATGTATGGGTGGATCTCCCGACCTTCGAACGGGATTTCATGAATCGATTTGATTATGTCCACCCTGAGCAAGCGCTGTACATGATCAAGGACCGAGTGCAAAAACCTCTCGAATCCGTCGCGGAATATCGAAACCGGTTCTACCGAATGTTCATAAAAACTGAGCGAGGTGAGCAAGTAGGGAGAGATCTGTTCATTGACGGACTCCGCAGTCGAACAATAAGGGCTAAGTTGTGAAAGCAGTTTTCCCCCATCACCCATACGCTACAACAAATTATGGCTGTTGCGGAAGAAATGGAACGGAAGTTCGCGGCGAACTTCCTGGAAGGAGAAGATTACCCTAGAGATGGAGATTCGACCGAGCTCGCTCGAGCAAGAGCAAAGTTGGCTGCTTTACAAAACAAATTTGAAAACATGGGGTTCGTATCAGGACCTGTCACCTATATGGAACAAATAGGCCCCAAACGATTAATCCTAAGTGAGACTCCGAGCATCTCTGCTCCTATGATGCCCCCGCCCGTCAGGGCATTACCCCCGCCGCCGGTAGAGGCTCCTGTACGATCAAACGAATCAGCGGCCATTTTTGAACTAACCAAAACTTTGACTAGTTTGATCCAAGAAAGCAAAAAGGAACAGCGAGAGCACAATGCTCGGCTGGAAGCCATGATGAGGATCATGCGACCTATTGCGGTGCGTGCCCCTCCGATGCAACAAGGATTAGCCCCTGCCCCTGCTCTCGGAGGAGCTGCGAACAATCTGAATGTTTGCTATGCCTGTCATCAGCCCGGACATCTAGCCCGTGATTGCCCCCACCGACCCCCACAACAGCGGATCGGAGTCGCACCTATGGCTGCGGCCCCCATCGCCAACGGACGTGGACGAGTCGGAGCCTTGATGGAAGAAGTAGAGGGTGGGGGAAGTGCCCTGGCCACCACGGAAGAGGCCGCCGAGCTAATTCCGCTAGATCAGTACGTATCGCTGGGATATCCTGGGCTAGGAATGATCGGAACAATCAGACCAGCGCCAGAACAGAAAGAGGTGGCGGAGTGGCGACCGTCCTTAGGAGAAATGGAGTCGGGAGGACCCACCTTCGTCACAGGGGAGATCGATGTATTAAACATCATCCGAGCATTGGACCATCGGATCCCCCTTTTGATCGGTCATCTACTCTCGATCTCCGAACACGCCAATGAGCGAATGTTACAGCACTGTAAAGCGAATCAAAAGCGATTCGCTCTCGCCCGAGCACCAAACGTAAAAGCCAAAGGCCCCGCGTCGGAAGAAGACCCAACAAACTCTTCGGATCCGATACGGTTAGGATTAATTCGAAAAGACGATCATTTCCTACGGATTAAACCCATTCCGTGGAAATCCGCAGAGTGCGATATAGAAATTTGGGGAATTCCTTACAACGCAATTATAGACTCGGGAGCAGCTGTGTTGGCTATTTCGCTGAGAGTGGTCGAAAGGGCAGGCAGGAAAAACGATATGATCATGCTCACCGAGAAAGATCAGCTCGTTTCGGCAGATGAGGAAAAGATTAAAACTGTGGGGAGAATGACCAACGTCGCCTTCCGATTAGGAAAAGTACACGCGCTTGGGGATGTCGTAGTACTATATGTTAATACGTACGACGTTCTTTTCGGACTTCCTGCTCTTGTGGCGTTACGAGCAAACTTGGATTTCGAACGACGAGCGATCGTCCTCCGAAATACAGGAGGAAAGCCCTACGTTGTCCCCATGCGATTGACCCTTCGCACTGCTATTAACGCGGTTCCGCGGGTTTCGCCGATGATGACAGGGACTCTCCGTATGATCTCCTGGGACGAACCCGCAGAAGGAAAGTCATCAACTGCAGATGCGGAAAGCAGTGACGAGGATGATCCGGAGATCTTGAAATTGGCACGACAACGTGTTTGTTACCCACCACCCAAAACGATAGCAAGAACGATGCAACTGACCAACCGAAAAATTCAAAGGACCAAGGCGATGATATTGGGAGAGCCCCTCGTACAGATTTCGAGGATGGTTGACTCTTTGGAACCCCCGCCAACCCTGTACGAAGGGATCACCCCTCTCCTCGCCCGGTACTTCGACAAAAAGCATTACTGTGATATTACGGATCTACCCAAGTCCTTACTAACCTCGACCAAAGAAGTAAGATTGTTACGCTTGGGGGCGGAAGCAAGATCTCTGGAACCCCCTGGCGTTTTGAAGCAGAAACAGACGGACTGGGGATAAAGATAGCAACTAAGGAAGTGCCATGGCAGGATGTTTGTGACGGGATTACCCCGGAAGGACACGTGGCAATCCGAGAAGAAGATGCTCAGATGATGGCCACGGTGTTCTCCTGGCGATCGGATCATTCATTCATCTCGGCGCCTCCACCTGATTTGACAAAACAGGTGAATACAAAACATATTCACGTTCGGATCTGGGACCAACTTTTCGAACTACACGTTCCACAATATGTGTCAGATGAAATCCACCGGGTAATTGCGGATATTCTAACGGAATACCAAGGAGCCATTAGTGTGTCGCACACTGACATCGGGTTGTTGTTAGTAATCCAACATGAAATTCAGATAGGAAATCACTCCCCAATTCATTGCAAGCCTTATCGCTATTCCTTGATTGAACGCAAACAGACTCTCAAACGAATCCGGGAGTTTGAAGCCAGTGGTTGGATTGAACCCGCTACCAGACCTTGGTCCTTTCCCGTAGTGTTAGTGCCAAAGAAAAACGGAGCGATTCGCATTTGCATTGATTATCGCAAGTTGAATGAGATCACGATCAAAGATGTGTATCCCCTCCCCCGGATTGATGATCTGTTGGATGCGATTGGGTGCGCTAATTATTTCAGCAAGTTTGATATTCGGCATGGCTTCCATCATATTCTGGTAAGGGAAGAAGATCGACCGAAAACGATCTTTGTGTTGTTTGAGGGTACGTGGCAGTGGGTTCGGTGTCCGATGGGAATTTGCAATGCGCCTGCCACGTTTCAGCGAGCAATGAGCATGACGTTCCAGAATTTCGTCAACAAGACACGGCTGACGCAAGGGATGATTAACTTCTGCGTGATCATGTACATGGACGACATCCTGGTATATTCGGAGACTTATCACGCGCACACGCAACATATTGAATGGACATTGGGCGCACTGAGAGATGCTGGGTTCAAGATTGCGCTCGAGAAAAGCGAATTTTTCCTCTCGGAAATTTCGTTCTTAGGCTACGTCGTGACGCGTGGAGGATTGCGGCCGGACTCGAGAAAAGTTGGCGGTGAAGGAAGCCCCAGTTCCCACGTCACTGACGCAGGTTCGAGCCTTCTTGGGACTGGCGTCGTACTACCGGCGCTTCATCAAGGGCTTTGCCGCGATTGCACGACCGCTAACGAATCTGTTACGGAAGGACCAGCCTCTCAATTGGGACGCGGAGTGCCAGCAGGCCTTTGCAACCCTCAAAGACGCTCTGGCAACAACCCCTATTTTGATTCGGCCGGACCCCTCGAAGCAGTTCATTCTCATCATGGACTGGCAACCGGAAGCTATTTCCGCTATTTTAGCACAGAAGGGGAACGATGGGCGCGAACATGTCATCGAGTACACGTCTCGAACCGTACCAGATGAACGAAGAAACGTTTTCGCACCTCAAGGCGAGTGCTATGCGGTAGTTTGGGGAATCCAGCACTTCCATCCGTATCTCTACGGACAGAAGTTTCGCCTCGTAACGGATCACGAGCCTCTGCTGGCACTGAAGAAACTCACCAACTACACGGTCATGATTGGTCGTTGGGCGGTGCGACTACAAGAATACGACTTCGATATCGTCCATCGAAAGACAGAGCGACACGGCAACGCGGACGAGATGACACGTCTGCATCGACCTGCCAAGGTACCAAAGGGCGAGGAAATTACACCGTGGAAAGAGCCAGACCTGACTAACGAGCCGAAGAAGAAGAAGAAGAAGTGAATCGCCAGCTCCCTCCGGCTCCCTGTCCCGATCCTCCCTTCGTCTACATCAAGATCTCGGCGTTCGGGCTTCGTCCCCGGTCGTTCTCTCGCCGACCCCGTGACTACCTCATGCTCACCCACCTCTCCCTTAGACCCCCGTTCCCCGATGGATGGTGTCCGTTCCCCCATCACCTTTTCTACCATCTCTACGCTACCCGCCTTCTAGTCTCCGTCTATCCACACGTCACTACTCGCTCTGTGGTTGATTCCTTTCTCCTTCATGTGCTCCTGTTTAGTGCACACTGGTGGGAATATAACCACGTAGAAGTATATTGTATTGTGTCAGGGACTATTCCCGCCTGCAAAAATTATGAAGATTTTCGCGTTGCCCTGCGACGGACCCTCTCCACCATCTACCCCAATTATATTGCCGCTTTTCGTCATCTTCATGAGGTCCCTCGTTTCCCCCGCATCCATCGCTCCTTCCACTACGCTACCCTTCCTAATTTCGCCTCTCCCGCCATCAACCGCTTCATGCCCCCTCTCCCCCTGAAGCATCCGCCACCTCCACCCTCGATGATCCGGCTGCCATTCCCCGGGAACGTCTAAGGTCTAGGATCTACCCCCCCTGTTACACTGATGCATGGTTGATGGCATGTGTCGCGGCGACGACACGAGAAAGATCCCGTCCTTGGATCGTCGAGAGCCCAATCTGAGGAACTAGTAGAAGAGCAGAATTGCCACGTTGGATGACCTCCACACACAATCGAACGGTAAGTGGCATACAGAGAATTGCTCCCGGTGTCAATTGCTTAGAGAAATCGACACGTGTCAACAAGCAAGGAGGAGCTTGCTAAATTCTGGAACCCTCTGGGCGTCACATATGTGACGAACCACTTTCTGTAACGCGCGAGTTTCTGTGTGGTTGCAATGAGGGGTCCTAAGCTGGGAAGATTGGGCCAATTACGGGAAATCGAGATCGGTGGAAAATTGCATCAGTACCCTTGCTTCTTCGTCTTTTTCGTCGCTTCTTCGGGGCTGGGTGTGTCCTGGGACGGCCGGTAGAATGGTT